ATGGAAGCGGCGGCGGCGGCCCCGGCCCCGGGCGGAGGCCCCGGTACCCTGCTGCTCTGCCTGACCCTCGCCTCCGGTAAGTAGGGGGTACCCGAGGCGGCGGGGATGGGCACGGGGGTCTCCCTGCCAAGCTACGGGCCCGGTCCCCGGTGCCGGTCCCGGGCTGCCCCTGCCCGGCTGGCTCCCCCGCCCTGTCCCGGCCCCGTCCTTTCTCTGTCCCAGCCCGGACTGGTCCCAGTCCCACGCTGGTGATCCTCCACCCGCCTCCCGGTCCCATCCCGGTGCTGCCCCATCCCATCCCGCCGATCCCCTGTACCCCCATCCCACCCCATCCCGATGTTGCCCCTGTCCCATCCCAGTGCTCACCGTGCCCACCCTGGTGTTTCTCCAGTCTCATCCCTGTGTCCCCCGGACAATCCCATCCCAATCCTTCCCCCGTGCCCAGCCTGGTGTTTATCCAGTCCTGTCCCTGTGCTCCCCCGTGCTTCCCCGCACCCATCCCAATGCTCTCCCCACATGCCCCCATCCTGGTGCTCCCCACCATCCCATCCCAGTCCTCCCCCCTGCCCATGCCAGCTTGGCTCTGAATCCCTGAATCCCTTGGGGCCAGGGTGTCCTGGCTGAACCCTGGAGCGGGGCTGGGATGCTTTTAACACCTGTTGATGGGACACTGCTCACGGATGCCCAAATATCCATGTTTTGCCATCCTTGGCAACGCCGGGAGATGGGGGGTGTGGGGAGGGAGGCAGGACCTATTCGGCAAGTGCACGCCTGTCCCCATGTTAGTTCCTAAGTGCTCGGGAAGCAGGCAAAGCTGCAGGCAGCTGCCTGCTCAGGGCTGGTGGGAGATAACCACGGGTAGGGCTGAACATCAGCCGGGCTTGGCGATGCGCCCTGGCAGAGAGTGCCAGCCCTGGGGTTTTGGGGGAGCCTTCCCCTCTGCCGGGAGCAGTTTGGGTTTGGCCCTTTGGCAGTGCTGGTGACAGCGCTCTGCCAAACCTGCCAAACCTGTGCTGGCAGGAGGAAATCGAGGGTGGCCAACCTGTTTTGGGGCTGGGGTGCCCATCAGACCAAGGCAATGCCCCGGGTGGTTGTTCTCCTGCAATTCGGGCTTTCCCAGGGAAGCATAGGGGGTGTTAGGGCAAAATAATCCGGTATTTGGGATGCTTTCCTCGGTTATCTCTGGCTGCTCAGGAAAGGGCACAGCCTTAGATAGCGGAGCTGGGCTCTCTGTGCATCAAAGAGGTGAGGTTGTCTGCACCCGCAGCTCCTGGGTGCTGAGATTTGGGTGTCAGGGGGGACCCCCCTGCACCCCCCCCTGGAGCTGGCAGTGCCGCCGGGGCGGTCCTCGCCGAGGGGCTGCCAGCCCGGAGGATGCCAAATCTCTGCATCTGGTTGCAATAAGGGTGGGGATCTCGTCTTGGTGGGGAATCTTTCCATGCCGAGCTGCGAACTCGGTCACCGGGGGTGAAGTCAGCCTCCCGCCCTGCGCCGCTGCCTGCCCGTGCCGCCCGCAGCTGGTTCCCGGGGGGGGGGGGGCAGCCGCCCCGTGGCTCATCCCCTGGCTCCCACTGCGCAGATCCCACCCCGCTGCCTGGGCCAGGTCGGGCGGTGGGCTCCATCTCCTCCCCGGCGGGCTTTTTCGGCCGGGGAGGAGATGCTCGTTAGCAGAGAAGGCCTGGCCAAGGCTCAGCCCCGGCCTCGTTGCAGCTCTGTTACCCAAAGCACGTCATTAGCGCGGCGGTGGCTATATATAGCCGGGAGGGACGCGTGTGCTGGGAACGTCCCTGCCATGGGACGGGGGGGACGAGGCTGCCCGGGTCGGCTGCCCAAACTTTCCCCTTTCCAGGAGGCCTCAACGTGGCCGAGCTGCGAAGTGTAGTCACTCGGGATGGAAACACCCCCGTGCCTCGATGTGCCACCCCCTATGGGACCCACCCAGCACCCTGCCCCATCAGGCAGGACCTGTCCCCCCCTCCCCTGGGTGCCACCACAGCAGGGTGAATCCCTGGGGAGGGCCGGGCTGGGAGCAGGGCCCTGCTGAGTCAGTGCTGGTATGCCAGTGATCCGGTTACCGCCGCCGTGACGTGCTGGGGCTGAGCCGGCCCTTGGCCTCGTCCCGTGGCCACGGCGAGCACGGTCGCCCCTTTGCCGGCTCGCTTCGTGCTGGGCATCCCATGCCCCGGTGCAGCAGTGAGCGATGTTGCAATGGAGATTTAGCACTTGCGCGCCGGGAGCAACTGGGTTTTGGTGGGTGCTGAATGGCAGCGCTGCCGTCTCCTCGCTCCCATGGCAGGCGTGTTTTTCAGCGACCCTGGCTCTTCAAAAAGGGCAGTGGAGCAAGCTGGACCTCGCTGGGGATCCCCCGCTGCATCCTCCCCGGGCAAAGGGGCCGCTGGCTGCCTGCAGGCAGGGCTGTGCCCCCCAAAACCCACCCCGCTGGCTCCCGGATCCCCCATGCTGGGGTGTTGGTGGGTGGAGGAGGCAGGCGGGGACCAGCTTTCCCTTATCCTCGCCTCTGGGGAAAAGCTGATGCTGCCAGGGAAGGGGGGCCGTGGGCGCAGCTGCAGAGTCCTTTGCCAGTCCCCTCCCTGCGGCAAGGGCCAGGAGAGCGGCTGCGGTGGGGCGGCGGCGGTGGCGGTGATGCCGGGGCTCCGGCTGGGCTCCCCCCCTCGAGCCACCTCCGCTGCTTGTTTCAGGCTTGGCGTTTTTCAGTTGCGTGGGCGCCGACGCCAACGTCACCGCTGGCCACGGCACGGAGGGGCTCACCTGCGGCACGGCCGAGAACTGCACGGGTAAGGCGGCAGCACCGGTGCCAGGGTGCTCGGGGGAGCCGGCGTCGTCAGATGGGAGGTGTGGGGGAGAGGGCCGGGATGGAGGATGGGCAGGGTGTTTTGTCTAGTGTAAGCCGTGCGGCATCCACTGAGCCGGGAAGCGGCCGGGACCGGCACGCCACGGCCAAGGACACACATGCCGGTGGCTCTTTCCATCTCGCTGGGCTCAGACCTGCTGTGGAGATGGACCAGCTCTGGGATGCTGCCACCACCTCCGGGCAGAACCGTAACCCCTGGGGGGGGGAATTTCTTTGTCCTTGTCACCCCCAGGGAACGTGACGCAGCTGAGGCGACAGGGTCACTTCTCCAGGTGCCCGGAGGAGTACAAGCACTACTGCGTCAAAGGGAGATGCCGCTTCCTCGTGGCCGAGAAGGCTCCGGCTTGCGTGTAAGCCACCGCCGGCGGGGATGTGGTGGGGACACCGTGCCCGTTCTCCTCCGGTGAGCGGGAGGAGGGGGGCACAGGCACCACGGCAGTTTTTCGGACCCCCCCCCTCTGCATCCCCTGTACCACGGGGCAGGTGCGAACGAGGCTACACGGGGGCTCGCTGCGAGAGGGTGGACATCTTCTACCTGCGAGGTGACCGGGGCCAGATCGTGATCATCTCCTTGATCGCCGCCATCGTCAGCCTCATCATCCTTATCATTTGCGCCTGCCTCTGCAGTCAGTAAGTGGCGTGAGGGGGACACACACGGAGCGAGGGGCAGGAAGGGAAGGGGCGGCCTTGGATTGGGAGCAAATCCTGCCCACTTCTGCTGGCTTGGGGCAGGTTGAATTTGGGATGCTCTGTTCGCTTCTGAGGGTGCTGGGAGGTGCATGGGGTGTCGCTTCAGGGCTGGAAACCATGTGCGATCCCATCCAGGGCTTCTGCAAGGTGAAAGCAGAGGGAGGAGGAACAGCATCGCCACGGTGCCTCGTTCTGCTTTTTAAT